GCTGAATAAATTCCAGTATGTACATATATACCATAGTTTGTAGATACTACAACTTTTGCACAAACCAAATAATATACACTTATTAGGATTTTTTTTATATAGCAGAATACATTTTGGCCTATATCTAAGAAAATAGATTTTTGATTTTTTTTTTTTACTGAATATGTTTTTATAGCAGAAAGTAGACAATATAGTTTGTTTGTTTTCAAAAATGTTGGTTCCTATTTGTTTGAAAAAAAATTATAACAATTTAATTTGGGTACATTGTTGCATGGCTGAGCAATTGCCAGTTAAAATAGAACAATGCTGAATAGCAAAAAATGCCCTGGTCATGAGGGAAATAAAACATTCTGGAGGTCAAGTGTTTAAATTGTGCCTGTTATTAATTAAAATAGAACTATAGAACTATAGGCAAAACTAAATTATGGATAGAGTAAGAGAGAGTTATAACCTCCCACTTTTTTTTGCCATCTGTGTCCCATTGTTGGGGGAGTTACCTTTACTTTCTGTCTAGTAGACAAAACAAATAGTGAGAGGAAATCCCTGCAAATTGCACCCCAGGTCACCAGCACTAGTGTCCCCACTGGATGATTTCTTCTCTATTACTGTTCTGAGGGCAACCCAACATTTGGGATTTTCTTCCGTTTCAATGATAATGGTAAATAGGACAAATATAGGGAGTGAAATCTCCCTAATGGGGCACAGACAGCAATAAGAACCTCACAGTTGATCTAATCCATCCACACTCTATCTAAAACTAAAAAAAGGAAGATTTGCCTTCAGTTATACGTTAAAAGTCAGAAAACTGGATACAAATCCATGTACCCTAAAACAAATTCATGGGCTTCAAATACAAAGGTGGTCTATTGTGCAAAATTGGACTTCTCCTGAAGCTAAGCACTGTTCTAGCAACACCAGGTCTTCAGATTGTGCAAGGCAGATGTTCTCAGCTCCATCTAGCATATGCTCATTGATGCCTCCTGAGAAAATAATAGAGAAAATGCACAGGATCATGTGCTAAGAGGCAGCAGTCCAATTCAGATATGTCATATATTTCAGTTATCTGACTGAATGGCTTACGGTATATAAAGCCAAGTTTAAGGTACATGGTGGTCTTACCTGGTAGCAAAAACTGTTTGTTGGTTGATTTCTCTTGTTGCCTGGCATTGTTCTTCAATCTCTTGCTCCCTATGTAACTCACAAGTGTGGCAGCAAATATACTGGTCTTTAATAACCATATGCCGCACATATAACTCCATGGACAGCCAAGGTTTCTGTGCTGAGAGAGTGTGCGCACCCAGCTCAGTGACCAAACTCTCATAGACAACTCCTGGTCTCCAGTAATGGACAGAAAATGGTGGGTCCCAGTCATGTGGCTACTGTGACAGCCAATGAAAATATACACTTTCAAAAATGTTGTGCTCAAAAAATTATACTGCTCAGTTCACAAGCAATGTGTCCATAAAAATTATTCATAAATCCAAATAAACAAAAAACAAGTTCTTAAAGTGGAGCTCCAGTCAAAATGTAAAAAAAATAAAATTCAGCAGCTACAAAAACTGTAACTGCTGACTTTTAAAAAGCAGACACTTACCTGTCCCTCGATAAAGTGGTGTCCTCACTGCAGCCGCTTTCACTGGCTGTCCTCTCTCCCTGGCACCAGCATCTTAAGTGTGGGCACCCAGCTGTGACAGCTTTAGGCTTCACAGCTGGGTACCCACTGAGTATCCGTAAGTAGCGCTGCGCCTTTTGAATGGTCCCGTACTCTTCTGGAACTTGTCATGTGTCCCAGAAGACTACGGGGGGGGGGGGACTAGGTGATCGCAGCAGAAGTGGGAGCCAGTACGTTTTTGAGTGAAGCTCTGCTTTAATGTCCACCTTCAAGTGTAATGTGTGCAAACATTTTTTTTTCAACAAAAGAAAATAAAATTATAAAGCAATCCTCTGTTGAAAATGTGGTATCAAAACACCCAGTGTCCTTCACATCTTCAGGTAAATGACTCATTATGCAATCCACTTCAGATTCTGTTGGAGTCCTATGCAACCTCGAAACATCCTAAGATGGACAAAGGTCCCGGACTTCATTAATGGGGACTGGCCTAACCAGTCATGGGAGGGGCGACAGGGGAGAGAGACCCATTTGACACGGACTACAGTCAAAAGAGACAGGAAGGATGGGCTTCATTCGGTGGGGGGGGGGGGGGGGGGGGGGGGAGCATAGGAGGGGGAACAGTTCAGCGTTGGGGGTAGGTGACTATTTATTTTTTAAAAAAAGGGCGGCTTGTGGGATCGATAGGGATGCAAAGGGGGGGGCGGGTACGGGGGGGGAGGCACGGGGGGATTTGAAGGAGGGAGGGGAGGAAAGCAGTGAGAAATGGAAAGGGGGTAGAGAGGGTTTATAGGGGGATATGTCAAGGAGGGTATCGAGGGGGGGGACGGCGAGGAGAGGGTCGCACTAGGGGGAAGGACGGGGAGGGGTGGGGGCGAGGGGGGACAAGGGGGGGTGCACAGTTCAGGGGGGGTGGGACGGGATAACTTTACAGGGAGCGGATGGGGGGAACTGGGGCAGTAGAGGAAGGGGTTAAAGGGGGGAATACGGGGGGGGGTAGGAGGATAGGGAAGGGGAAGGCAATGGAGGGTAGACCCGGAACAGGCGGGGCAGGAGGGAGGGCAGTGGGGGGGGGGAAGGCTCAGCGGATCAGCCGGGGGAGGGGTGGGGAGAGGCAGCAGTTGGGGACGGTAAAAGACAGACTCCTTCTCTTTTTGGCTTCCCGGGTCTTTTCGCCTTCCCAAACCTTTTGCTTTTCCTCCTGTTCTGTGCTCTTTCTCCTTCCTCTTTCTTGCCACGTCCTCTTGCTTTTTTTCTTTTCCTCCTTAAGTTTTTCTTTTCCCTTCTCACTTTTTTTTCTTTTTTTTCTTTTCTTTCCTCTTTTTTTTTTCCTCTTTCTTTTTCTCTTATGGATCCGGTCCCTTCATTAATGGACTTGCAAACCAGTCATGCTAGGTTCTCACAGTTCCAGACCATTTACCAACATGTCAAAAACAGAAAGGAAGGCTTCATACGTAGCATAAAACAATTCACTATTTATTGTTTTAAAAAACCTGTAATAATTGCACTCACATTGCCATGTGTCATGCCTGAAACTAAGGTATGCGCATATCTACAATCGCCTCCACCTCAGCTTCCACCTCACCGACAACAACGTTCTTGACCCTTTACAGTCTGGCTTTTGCTCTCTACACTCCACTGAACCTGCCCTACTAAAACTCACTAATGATCTACTAACAGCTAAAACCAACGGCCACTACTCCGTACTCTTACTACTTGACCTCTCTGTAGCTTTTGATACAGTTGACCATCCCCTCCTCCTCAAAAAACTCCACTCTCTTGTTCTCAGAGACTCTGCTCTCTCCTGGTTCTCCTCCTACCTATCGCAGCGCTCCTTCAGTGTTACCTATATCGCTACCTCCTCCTCCTCTTCACTCCCTCTTTCTGTAGGGGTCCCTCAAGGTTCTGTCCTTGGACCCCTTCTCTTCTCCATCTACAACTCCTCCCTTGGTCACTTGATAAACTCCCATGGCTTTAAGTACCATCTCTATGCTGATGACACACAAATCTATCTTTCTACCCCTCACCTCACCCCTTCAGTCTCCTCTCGCATTACTAACCTACTAAGCAACATATCAGCATGGATGTCACTCCACTTCCTCAAACTCAATCTTTCCAAAACTGAGCTCTTAGTATTCCCCCCAGCCCGTGCCCCCTCCCCTGACCTCTCCATCAAGATCAATAATTCAACCATCAGTCCCTCCCCTCATGCCAGGGTACTAGGTGTAATCCTAGACTCCCATCTGTCCTTTCACCCCCAAATCAAATCACTGTCCAAATCTTGTAGACTTCACCTCTGCAACATCTCCAAGATACGCCCGTTTCTAACCACGGAAACCACTAAGCAACTTATTCACTCCCTTGTTATATCTCGCCTTGACTATTGCAACTCCCTCCTCATTGGCCTACCGAATCGCAGGCTATCGCCTCTTCAGTCTATTATGACTGCTGCTGCCAGACTCATCCACCTTACTAACTGTTCTGTATCTGCCATCCCTCTCTGCCATTCCCTCCACTGGCTTCCCATTGCCCAACGGATAAAATTAAAAACATTAACAATAACGTATAAAGCCATTTATAACTCTGCCCCAAATTACATCACCAATCTTGTTTCTAAATATCACCCGAACTGAACTCTCCGCTCCTCGCAGGACCTCCTGCTCTCTAGCTCCCTTGTCTCCTCCTCCCATACTCATATCCAGGACTTCTCCAGAGCTTCCCCTATCCTCTGGAACTCTCTACCCCAATTTATCAGGCTATTGCCTACTCTGCTTACTTTTAGACGATCCCTCAAAACCTATCTCTTCAGGGAAGCCTATCCTGCCCTCAGCTAATAATGGAATCTTCTACTCTTCCAACCAGTCCATCCCCCACAGTTACTACCTTTTTGTACCACTAGCCCCTCCCTCCCAGATTGTAAGCTCCAAGGAGCAGGGCCCTCCTTTCCCTCTTGTATTGAGTTGTATTGTTGCTGTATTGTCTCCCGTTCTATTGTAAAGCGCTGAGCAAACTGTTGGCGCTATATAAATCCTGTATAATAATAATAATATAATAATAATATACAAGTAAAGTCGCTGGCTCCAGCCACGAACATGGGCTGTGGGTAAAGGTGGACTCAGTGCAGGAAACATCACTCAGGGCATGGCTCTGCCTAACATGTTTTGGCATGTGTCATCATCAGAGACAGCGTTATGCTTTGAAACATGTTATGCAGAGCCATGCCCTGAGTGATGTTTCCTGCACTGAGTGCTCCTTGACCCGCAGCCTAGAACCTCACATGAGTGGTTTACAAGTCCATTAACCGCCTCCCGCCCGCCGTGTAAGGAAATTACTCTCGTTCTGGGAGGACGTTATATGACATCCTCCCACTCTAACCGCGCGTGCACGCCCATGTGGGCGTCGGCTCTGTCATGTGGTCAGCTGTGTCCAAACACAGCTGATCGCATGTAAATAGGGAAATGCCAGTTATCGGCATTCCTCTCCTCACGAGCTGTCACGCCGACAGCTCGAGAGGAGAGCCGGTAATCAGCATTACTCAGAGGGGACATGTGCCCTGATGATCAGTGTAGCCCCATCAGTGCCACCTGTCAGTGTCCATCAATGCCACCTAACAGTGCCCATCAATGCCACCTGACAGTGCCCATCAGTGCCACATCAATGCCACATATCAGTGCCTACCAGTGCACATCAATGCCATTATAATCAGTACCCATCTGAGCTGCTTTTCAGTGCTACCTATTAGTGCCAGTCAGTGCCACCTATCAGTGCTGCCAGTCAGTGCCGCCTATCATTGCCAGTCGGTGCTGCCTATCAGTGCCAGTCAGTACCACCTATTAGTGCCAGGCAGTGCTGCCTATCAGTGCCACCTGTCAGGGCCACCTATCAGTGCCATATATGAGTGCTGCCTTTCAGTGCCCATCAGTGATGCCTGTCACTGCCCAATAGTGCCACCTACCAGTGTCCCCTCATCAGTGCCCATCAGTATAACTGTGACTAGCACTGGTTAAGTGCTTAGGTTGTAAATTGTTTGTAATGGAAAATTTAAATGTAGCGCTACCCCGCAGGAGCTGCTGGTATATTTGGGTCCTTTGTTTGTCGCTAGGCACAAGACAGAACCACACGCCTGCTGACACCACCAAAGTAACTTGGTCAGGGAGTCTCCCAGCTGCCACACAAGAAAGATAGTCCCTGAGTACAAACAATCTTTAAGGTTGACTCTTCTGCTGGCTTAGTTGGGGCCCTTGTTGGCATGCAGCAAAAGGTGCAGTCCCCTCAAAATGTGTAGAAACAGGGTAATTCCCTTTAAGAGGCAAAGTGGTTAGCAGAGTTCTCCTTAATGGGTGAGATTGGTGGGATAGGTCACTTTAAGATACTGAATTGTAACAGTCACTTCAATGATTATAATGGACACTGGGTGTTTTGATAACACATTTTGAACTAAGCGGATTCTTGTATAATTCTATTTTCTTTTATTAAAAAATAAATAAAATTCTTTGCACACATTGAACTTGAAGGTGGACATTAAGAACTTGTTTTTTGTTTATTTGGATTCATGATTAATTATAATGGACACATTGTTTGGGAACTGAGCAGTATAATTTTTTGAGCACAGTATTTTTTAGAAAGTGGATACAATGTTACACAGTGGTATTTCTATAAATTTTGTTTTACGTCATTAAACACTTTACATTTAAAGAGCTGGCACACACATAATTGGTTTGCGCAATCCATTTAAACTAGAATGAATCTGTGCTCAGGTTATGATTCAGACTAGAATGAATCTGTGCTCAGATTACAATTTAGCCATTCAGGTCCCCTAGCTACCCCTGTCAACAATGACCAGGATTAGCCCCCCCCCCACCCAAACACACACATTTTTTTTTACTGAAAAAACATAGAAAATGTACTGGCAGAGCTCATTTTTAACTTACAACCTGAATTATGGCAGAAAGAGTGGGAGGGGCTTGAAGGGGATTAATGAGACAGAATCTCTGCCTAGTCAATGTATACACTGCACACATATTCCACAGTCCTTGTACCCACAAAATACTTTTAATTACTGTTTCATGAGTGGCAGTCTCAAAGACACACATAAACCTTGGGATAAAGGATCAGTTAAAAAATAAAAAAGTGTTTCCATTGCATATGCTTTTCTGCACACAGAAAGATATCACAAAAATATGTTCCTCCTAAAACCACACCAGACCCTTAATCTGAGCATGCAGCCTCATCACAACCCTTGTTCAGTGGTTGTGGGGGTCTGTGGGCTTCTTTATAATATCACCTCCTCTGAACCCCTAAAATTTTGGCTGCGGTTGCCCGCCCCCTGGGGCGAGGTGGAGTCTATGGTTCTCATGACATGGTCAGTAGGATATTTAAAGTGCATCAAATGGATCCTATCTTTTTGGCTCTTAGGAAGAGGGCTTGCCCTTGAAACGTGTAAAACATCGCAGATTCCCGAACGGCATCTACTTGGCGTACAGATCCTACCCACCATAGTGATTGTGGACAATTCATTTTCATATCGCTGTATCCAAACTTTGGTTTGTGAGTATATGTGTTTTTATTTCTTTTGTAATAAACGTCCTTGGGATAATGCACTAGGCCAGTGCACCCTCTTTTCTTTTGTTTCTTTGCAGTTGGTTTTTGGAATTTCCCAACCAGTTGAGGGCAGCAAGGCCGCTTAGATCCCTTGGTTATCTTGTTGAGAGAACACACACAAGGACTGTCACAAGTCCTCCACACTCAAGCGCAGGAGATTTTTAAATTGTTATGTAAGGGAAGGTACGGGGATAGTGGTGACATCATTAACCAAATGTGGGCATATGTGGTCAATATCATTGCCAGAATATGTCATTGGCCATATTTGGGCACTGATTTCACTTAAAAGGAACAAGGATTCCATGTGAATTCCGTTATAACATCAATGTCTTCTATAGAAGTGGAAGAAATACCGCTTCTATATATGATGCCTGGCTCCGGCCAAACAGGAGGCTGAACAGGTTAAAGTTCATTTGAATGTCCAAACAGCCAGGGTTTAGTCTGAACCTAGGTTTGGATTGAACTGGCAGCTTTTCCCTACTGCAAAATCACTGCAGGTAGCTGAGTGAGCTGAGCTGCTGAAAGAATTACTAAAATCATTTAGTGCTTCTGCTACCAAATTTGAGGATGATTTGCTCCTCAGTGCCTGCAGCTACAGGGGTCAGTGAGGGCTTGTTTAAAAGCTCATTTACTGCATCAATACTAGATTTTCCATAGCCTGGCCACATGTTCACCTTAAAGAAAGTCTATCATATGGGAAATATGGAGGTTGACATTGCTGATCTTCTAAAGATAGCTATTTTCCTGACTGTCAAGCTGATCATTTGGTCTCAATACTTCGGTCACTGGCCCAGGACAAGTATACAGATGCAAAGTCCAGATTCACTTCACATATGTTTGTTCTATGTAACTCAGAAAGCTTAACACCAGAAATAGTTTCCTTTAACTTTAACACATTCCTGTTGATATGAGACAAATATTATTTCTATGACTTAACACGGCGGGGCGATAATGCGTTTGTGTGAATCGAAGCCATTTCCAAAGTCTGAGGCTGTTTCCATCCGCTGTACAATGGTCATATTGTGCCCACTGCGACCACACACAATGTCGCCTTTGTCCGAGCATTCTGAGCAGGGAAGCCGCTTTTGTAGGATGAACACAGTCACAATGGTTGGCTCAACAATCTTGTTTTATTTCTTTAGAAAAAGAAATGAAAATCTAGTTTTTACATGTTTATACAACACAGAATGTGAAGACTGAACACAACTATCAAAGGGTTATATATGTGAAAAGTGGATTCCAGGGAATCTATAGATGTTTTACAAATCAATGAATAAACATGTCAATATCTCGGCTTACATTGTAACTAAATCTCATCAGTGTGTTTATTTAAGTCCGCGTTTCTGTGTATAGTTTCTGATTAGATGTGTACCCAAGGGCAAAAGTGTTTGTTGAATGAGCATCCTGAGCTTTCTGCTTAGTAATGCTGCACAATGATTATATTTTACTAGTTCATGTAGTACATTTATTATTTATTATTTATTTCAGGTACTTATATAGTGCTGTCAATGTACGCAGCACTTTACATATATATTGTACATTCACAACAGTCCCTAACCCTCAAGGGGCGTACAATCGAAGGTACATGAAGAAACACTAACTACAATGCTTTCTATTGGTGGCTGTCTTGTAACTGATTTGATCTCAGTAGTCATTTAGGGCTTGCTTAGAATTTGTAGGGGTGATAACAACACATGGTTGAGACATGTTTTTACCTCCCTCCTTTAAACTGTAAAGGTAGCAAACAGCAAAAATTATTCCCCTTGTTGCGTTTAGTGGGCAGTACCACCATTGAACACAACCCATTCAAGCGAATAGGACTGTGTTGCAATCATGTGCAATGCATGAGGTTGTAGCCTGGTGGTGCGGTATAGGGCATGGGGTTAAAACAGGCGGCAAAGAGGCGACGTATCACCTCCTCACTGGCTGTCACATGCCTCTAAAAGGGATCCAAGCACAAATCTCTTTTTCAGGTGCACTGCAATCTTGCTGAACATCTAAGCCTAGTCTCAGTCAGTCTTACACATCTCTCATCCATAGACACCTTAAAGTGAGCATGTCATGTCACCAAGGTGTAAACATTTATATAATCTTGTGTTGTCTGGATGGGCAGAAGTTTAAAGCCCTGTTAGATCAACTTCTGTTGAGTTTGATCAAAATTCAACCGGTTTAGTAATCTCGATCCATCTATGGCCACCTTTAGCATCTGGGATACAATGGAACTGATCTGAAGGCAAGCACAAGTAGTGATGGTTTATACACATAGGTGGAAATCACAAGTTCACTGCGAGGTGTTCATGTGCTCCAGCTTAAACTTTTAAAAGAATATTTATTGTCTGTTGATGAGTCTTTTATTACAGTATATCTAAACCCAAGAACATACAGTAATTCATTATATTGAATCTTACCAGTCTCTAGATGTGGTGGCTGCATTTGATTTATTCGAGTTTTTTTTTTTCCTTTCAATAAATTATTTGTATTCACTTGCCGTGTGTATTTTTATAAATCAACCCTTCTGCACTGTGGAAACATTGGATCTAATGTATATCATGTTTCAGTAAAATGAAGCTCTAAATCAATCAGCAGCTAATTATAATCCCTTTTGTGACAAAATTAAAAATAAAATTACAGTGCACATACAAAATCTTCATGTAGACAATCATAACTTTATAGTCAAAAACATATACCAGTCAGAAAGTATAAAAAAAATCTTTGTGCAAACGCATCCAAACAAAATTAGTCCAAACATTCAGTGGTATATCGACTGAACAATTCCTACCACCTCTTGATTCCTTCAAAGTGAAACAAATTTTCATTCCAAGAGACTACCACCACTTCTATAGAACGCACTATAGTGTGTGCCTAGCTTTATCCAAGATTAGGCAAACACAGCTATTAAAGATATTCCTGCTAGGTGTAGTCCACTTTGTAGAATATGTAAACCCAACGTTTCATATTCTTATGTGCTTGCTGTACCATGTACTTGTATGAAAAAGTATCCTGCTCTCTTTGTATTGCTGCCTTTGTGTGAAATCTCTGGTATTCCTGTCAGTCCCTCTGGTTTGCTATTAAAAACTGACCACACTAGGCAGGAGAGCTCACCATGATCAGTTTTCTAGCTTTGCTGGGTGCTCAGTGTGCTCTCCTCTAATGATCAGACTTGTCCTGAAGCACAACCTTGCACAGCCATTCACTGGGAAGATGAGTGTATTGCTGTTTCTCCTCCTCTAGCTCTTATGCAGCTGAAAACAGAGGGAATGTGATCACTTACAGTGAGGAACAGAAGTATTTGAACACCCTGCAATTTTGCAAGTTCTCCCAC